ACCATGATCTCTCCCTAGTGTGGATAAATAATCAGGCAAGCAATTGATTTGGACATCCGGATATGTTCAATTAGAGAAGGAGCCATACGAGTGAAATGTAACCAGAAATCGACGGAGGAATGAACAAGTAAATCAGACACTAGTGATTTTGATTTCGTGTTCAAAGAACTATGGAAGGTAACGCATCTGAAATTCACGTGTGCCCACTGTCTGTGAGTTGGGAAGGGTCATGTCTCATGGTCACACGTGGTTGCGAGTGTGTGAGAACGTTGTTTTCAGTCAGTTTCAGTGCTGCGAACATCGAACCTGTTTCGAATGAACGGGCCTTGGGGTCAGCTCGTCAAACACTTCAGTGGGAATCTTTACTCAAAATGATTACATTCGTGAAAATTATCACCAGCATGTGTGAGTGATGAAGTCGTCAAACCCTCATTAGGAATGCCGAAAAATATCAGATTCGAGCATTGAACAATGAACACTGGTCGTGAAAATTCTGTGATAAACTCTTGACCGTTTCTCCCAAGCTGAGGCTTGATGGCTTCTTTGGTAGAATGGAATTCGTGTAGTGACCATGAAGGACAAATTCGAGTTTACAGAAGTGAGACTGGACTTTTCATGCATCATCGTATGATGCGAGATTCAAAGAGGAAATATCTTCGCACACATTTCACCACCAATGCAAATTGGCTGGTTCATGCCTATCAAGCTGAAACGGAGTAATGCTAACACTGATGTGCTGATCCGTGGACAGTGAACTACCAGCTACGGAAGTCCAACCAATTGATGAATTGGACAATTCGCTCTTGAGGGCCTGCATCAGTTTTGGAAATTGTTGCAACACTTGCTTTAAAGCAGCACGTTCATCAATCACCTAAACTGAGATGCCTTGAGAATACCTTGTTTTCTTCACGGGTTAATTGCCTTCGAGTCAATGGTGCCTCTGTCACTCCAATGTTCTTCGGACAATAACAATCATTGTTGCACTGTGTGAATTGGTTTTGGTGGTAAACTCATAGGTCATTTGCAATGCAAACAATGAATCACATATTCCGATGGCAAACTGCAGTAGTCACATGCAGCACCATAATGAAAACGGGTCCAACTTTCTCAAGCATAAACTGGGACTTCGATGGGAAACCATTCGGAGAGTTGGCTTCAGTTGTCACTGTAGGATGTCGTTCCGTGAGAGTGAGCACATTCATAGTTGGGGGTGATTTTCTGTCCATCATTGGTTTCGCTGGAAATGCCGGTTCCGTCAGTCGACCAACAGATCATACTTAGATAGTTATTGTTCCGAACAACGCATAGAAATCGATGCATTGTGGTTTGATATGAAAGCATTTATTGGCAACAAATGACCACGGAGTTGGTTGGTGTTGATCAACCAGTTATCCTCGTGGAATTCAAGCCTCGACATCATGGGGTTTTCGGACGGATAAAGTGATGCCGCAGAGTACTCAGCAAGTCAAAGTTCAGTTTGAAAAAAATGTCAGTGCTGCAGATATGAATCAACTTATTCATTTGGGAGTGAATTTCTGTCATAAAAGAACGGCTACTTTGGATCTCAAATACTGTATAAATGACCGCGTATATGATTGCAGAAATGGCAGTAAGATGTTATTTTATTCACGTGTTCTTGCACATTCCGAGTAACGAAATCAATGAATTCAACGGTACCAGAATGTTTTTGCTCCAGGACTTATTTCACTAGACGTGTATTGGATGCAATGAAAACCATGACTTGAGTTGAACTGGGTCTTCGATGTCACACCAGCTCCGTTTACAAACGGAGATAAGCCAAAAGTGTTTTTGTAATACTTTTTGATAAGCGCACCTGGTTGAGTAGAACGGGAAATTTTGTCTACCTAAGGTTTGAAATAAAATGTTGGCAATGAATTTTCCCTTTTTATTTTCGATCATAATTGATTTCTTGCACTCAATTCCCTTCTGATTCTCCAGGTTCAGCATGATGACTGCCAAGAACATCACCGAAGCAAACGAGTAATGATTGGAAACACTTTCGAGAATCTGTCAAACGATATGATTATGAGAACAATTTCACCTTAACTTATATTATTACTCTGATGCAAACAAATTCTTTAATTTGCAAAACCTCATAGCTTGCTGCCTGTCTTTGAATCACTTTGTGTTACCTATACCCATTTACTTGTTACCAAACGATCTATATCTGCTCACATACAATAAAAGTTTGCTTCCCAAATGAGACGCCAGTTCGATTTCAGTGATATCATTGATGCCCAGAATGAATTCTCGTGGTCTTCCAAACTAATATTTGAACTCAAACCCTGTCCAGTTTAATTTTTAAATCCAGCAAATTCGTGTCAATTCAAGTTGAAACCGTGTGCCTGATCGTACAAAATGATAGAATTTCAGAATTATCTGCTTTCACTCATGGTGACAGTTGGCTGTATGCTAAGTAATAAATGAGTTTGGGTTTATCAAAAGTCTTGCAATGTTAGTACGGTTCAAGTTTTACGTGGGTCAAATTGATTATCATTTTGGCCGAGGCCAGATTTGCTTGCGCGTACAGTGGTAGTTCATATGATGCGGAAATTCGACGTTCACGACATGTAAGGTAAGTAATAACGGAACTACAGAAACAAGCGGCCTTCACAGGTGGGAGCTATGGCTAGAAGTGTCAGATTTCTCGAGGGGCAATAAAACCTTGAGAAACTTCGTGAAAAAAGGCGTATATGTATACGGACAGACTGAAATATATTCAGCAGATTTGTGGTTAGCTGTGGCAGCAGTCGCAGGGGTGGCAGTAGTAGTTGTCGGTGTTGTTCTTGAATTTTGAGTAGTAGTAGTGCTGGCAACCTTAATAGTAGCAGAAGCACTGGTAGTGGTCATAGTAGTTGTTTTGTTGTTCAGATCTGACCCACGCCTTTCGGGAGGAAGTCTCCTTCAGTTGCGAACTATCTCAATTCATCACTACATATTAGGATGTTTATAGGGGGTGCTGGACAACCAAAACAAACTAGTGCACGAAACTCTATTTTTCTTATTGGCTTGGCGGTTGTTTCTTGTGTTTGACTGTAATTCCGGTCAACCACTGCCAGGTAGGTTTCATCCCTTATTTTGACCACCATTATCATCGAAACACTGTGAGCAATCTAATCATTCGCAGATCTGTAGATTCCAGTCTTCGTATCGATGTCGATCAGATGATGTCAGCGCGAAGACAGGTTTCGTAGTTTCAACTGATTGAACATTGATGTCCCAGAGACAGCAGTCTGGTGGAGTTTGCCATATACTACTTCGAAATAGCCTAGTTGATCGATAACAATGAAGGTCACTGGAGCCATGTGAAAGGCGATGAAGTCACGTGGTAAGAACACAGAAAGCAACGAAAAGGATTACGAACTTACGAAACCTACAATAACAATGCCCGACTGAGCGAGAACAGGATTACCGTTGATGGTTTTTTTATATTCAAGGGGGAAATTCGGTTCTACTTTGGTCATTTGCGTCTACAGATTTCCCTGTCCTTTAGTAGCCTTTTTGCACAAATCCATCAGCATCTAGCACACATTCAGCAGGCAGTGTCGATCGTTTGCCAACCACGGACGGTTAGCTTTTAGTCCCAGCCTACAATACAGTAACCAGACACTTCCGACGCATCCGCACAGCAGAAAACCACATCTGGTCACGTGGCTCGCCCAGGGCTGCCAAGCCCCGTAACTGGTCCCGAAAATCCAAGTGACGTGACATTGTACGGTATGGCTGTGTCAGAAATGTTCGCTTACGTAGCCCGTGTAGTGCCAGTGGCTGCTTCTATACGATCGGCAGTGGATACTAATCGATGGTCGGTGGTCACTGAACAACAAGAAAGCTAGTAATTAAAATGCGGCACTTCAGTGATCAGTGTGCAATCATTTTTTACTTTTTCTCTACCATAACGATGCGTTCTGCAAAACTATGACGCTGTCCTCCCGATATGAATAATTGCAATTTTTGCGTTGCTGCAGTGTTAGGTTTTCATGGGACTGAGTATTTAATACCAGACACGAGTTGCAGGGTAGAACATGGATAGTCCAGTAACAATTTAAGAAAATGTAGCCTCACTCCGTAAATGGTGGTGAATATATCATCGGTCAGGTACATGATTTCGAAAGGATTTGGCTGCTTAACGACGGAGTCTCTTAAAAATTAGAAGTTACATTTGAAGAGATCACTTCCACACAATTTCATAACCGTGGGTAAAATGTCTAGCGAAGAGTGCACAATTCTGTTGGAATAACAGCAATGGAAACACAACAACTGAGCTGAACACAAATGAGAATTAGTTCTACTGCGTTTTTGAATACAAAATATAAGCATATTCGTACATCTGTTCATTTCCATACCGTGGGTAGTTAAAATGTTACGACAAATGTGCACAAAAGAGTGATTCTCCCGAAAGCACTAATTTACTTGCACGGGATAAGCTGCACGGAAACAGTTGCATGTGATTATTGAATATTTTTCTGCGGCACTGTATAAAGCAAAAGGTTATGGAAATCCAACGTTGGTGTGGTTCGTTCAGATCCCTGCAGTCATGTGTCGTTTTAATGAGTGTTACTATTCTCGTCTAACTGCACAAACATGGTAAAACATTCGAAGGTGTTATACATCAAGTTAAAATTTTCCGTATTGATTTCCTACGGTGAGTTGTATTTGGGATTATTGAGAATACATAGTAGGAAATAAATCTGTTTTTTCCGCTCGAGTATACGAGAATAGAAGACTGAGTAAGTGCTTGATTGTGTGTGCAATCGACACAACCAAGGAAGCTGCTCACTTCATGTCACAAAGCGATCGGACAAAGTGTTCCTCTCAGATGTGAGGTACTTGTGAATGTGTAAGCAAGGATCAATGAGCAGTCAACAAGTTAGTTATTCTGTGAAAATTCTGCCATCGATCTGAATGCTGGTAAAACTACACCACGATAAGAACCTTCTCAAATCGACTGTTTAGCTCGGATGAGAATAAAACATCACATGGTGGTCGTAGTAATAAAAGCAACGGTCATAGCTGCAGTAGTAGTAGCAGTGCAAGTGATATTAGTAGTAGTAGTAGTAGTAGTAGTAGTAGTAGTAGTAGTAGTAGTAGTAGTAGTAGTAGTAGTAGTAGTAATAATAATAGTAGTAGTAGTAGTAGTAGTAGTAGTAGTAGTAGTAGTAGTAGTAGTAGTAGTAGTAGTAGTAGTAGTAGTAATAGTAGTAGTAGTAGTAGTAGTAGTAGTAGTAGTAGTAGTAGTAGTAGTAGTAGTAGTAGTAGTAGTAGTAGTAGTAGTAGTAGTAGTAGTAGTAGTAGTAGTAGTAGTAGTAGTAGTAGTACTAGTAGTAGTAGTAGTAGTAGTAGTAGTAGTAGTAGTAGTACTAGTAGTAGTAGTAGTATTAGATTGTCAGGAACATCAGATTTTATCGTCGGTCACAAGTGGCTGACGTCAAGTGGTGGAAGAGCAATGTTCTCACGACCAGCATTGTCCCTGATCACAATTATTCAACAGCTGGACGGAGGTTAGTACGATAGACGATTTGAATGCACAGGATGAGAAAGGGGTCCAAACATATGGAATAATGAGCTGATGATTAATAGCTCAATATTTAAGCCGATCCAAGTGAAAACTGATGTGGATAACGGAATCCGACGATATTGCAAGTCCATGAAACTAGTGACTGATGAAAAACTGTACGTAAACCACTCCCCTGAATTGAGCAAATACTGACGCATCTCAGTGTGAGAGAGTATGGTCATTTGCTTGATCAGTGGAAGCAAGCAACCTTTATTTTCGGAATAACGTCAATGAAAATATTTCACATCACATCCATTTTTCGCCTATTCGTTTCATATATGAAATACATGATTCGATCAGATAATCCCTACTCATTCAGATTCACCGAGATCAATTGACTCAGTCGGATACCAGGTTACCAAGTGATCGGTGAGCATTGTTCCATGCTGCAGTCCAGTGCCCAATCTTGCCGTATACTGTGGTTATACTCCAGTGATGACAGCTTGTGGGTTGATCACGCACATGGGCAAAATGTGAGCTCAGCAAATCCATATACTTGAGAATTAATGTAGAGAATGAACACCGATTTGGAATATCAATGAATGACAGAGTAGGCAATGTTGAGGTAAGCGAGAAATCGCAAATAATGTGGATGCGCTTAAACATTTTGTAGACTTAATACGGCTATTGCATTGTAAAGCCTAAGATTCAGTCTTTCAGCGTCTTGTCCTATTGACCTCCACGCTATTGTTTCTAATGTGGTACTTTTGACTCCATGAATCCTCAGTAGTTGAATTCTTTACATATGTTCACCTGGCCAGCTGATTTTCTTGTCTATTGGTCAGTAGAACTCTAGTTCATTGATATGAGCTGCATTTTTTGACTTGGTTGTATTTTTGCGTATTCGCAGAAAGTACATGCCACCCAACACAATTCATACATTGACTAAATTCGTTGATGAGTATGAATCACAAGAACCGCAGTTCGAGCAACGCGTAGTCAATTCACACGAATAGCAAAATCGGAGTGAGATAGATTCGTAAAGATCTATGACAGAAAATAGAAAATTACAAAATGTACAAATATATCCAATTGCGTTTACTCAAATCAAAATTACCTACTATCAATCGGACAGCATCGGCAGTGACCTTCAGAAACCATTCGTACACAGGCTGACAGAACCGAATATTTCGAAACAACCAGCAACATTTATGAGGAATTCAACATTGGGTACATTGCACAAACTTCAGTTACATGCACTATCATGTAATCTGCTTTTCTGCCTATCACCGAAGAACATACATTGCATAGAGACACAGGTACGACTCAAATATCTATTCGAACAACTAAAAATGATGGGGCCATTTCCACTGATGTCAAGACCTGGGTAAAGTCAGAGCTGGTCGATGTGCAGTGGCAATGCCAGAGTTCATCCCTCCGAAGGAAGTCGTTACAAAAATCTGAATACTTACTCGCTGGTAAAGAGCTATACACATATTTTGCTAGTAAGTAGTTCGGGAAATCATTGACACAATTTCCCCGGGAAGAACCCTACCTGTTTCTCAGTAGATGCCGCTCATCAGGTACGCATATCCAGTACTCCCCTGTCCACTCATCTTCATAGTTGTACAGTTTGATGTTATATATTCACTATGATCCAATTTGAATCGTCTTGATTGTGAATGGATACCCTTTGGTTATATACTACTTACTACCAATATAAGCTTTTGCAAATGCAGCGTCGCTGTGTTAGCTGTTACCCGGACACAAATAACTAACAGAAATCACAGCTGTGATTAGTTTTTGGACTTATCAATGACGACTCAAATTTGATATTACCTGGGATCTAATTTGAGTCATCTGGAGTGTGAATGGATACTCTTCGTTGATGAGTCCACGTACTTTCTGCGAATACGCAAAAATACAACCAAGTCAAAAAATGCAGCTCATATCAATGAACTAGAGTTCTGCTGACCAATAGACAAGAAAATCAGCTGGCCAGGTGAACATATGTAAAGAATTCAACTACTGAGGATTCATGGAGTCAAAAGTACCACATTAGAAACAATAGCTTGGAGGTCAATATGACAAGACGCTGAAAGACTGAATCTTAGGCTGTACAATGCAACAACCGTTAAATTTCATATAACCGTTCGTCAGACTGAAATTAAGTGCTCAATATGTTTTAGCGCATCCACATTATTTACGATTCTCGCTAACGCTAATGCAAGGGATCACGAAATACGACGTTCATGTGTCCTGTCTCACCACTTTAACGAGGCTGTACATGGATTTGAAGTTTGATTTAAGAAAACGAATTTTACTTCGACTGACGTGCCTGAAGGATGCAAAATGCATTCTGCCAACCTCATGATCACCGCGGATAACATGCACCCCATGGCTTGTTCAATAGGCTAAATGAGTAACACAGACTATTGTTGTCCGGAGCAATGCCCCGTGATACGTCATTGAGCAAAGTTCATACCATGAATGTTGTGTGAATGAAGCTCAATCAGTTTGTAAATCAAATCACAAGTTTTGACAATTCAGCCACGAAAACTAAACAATGCCCTACGGACGACGATAAGCTGAGATGGAACAGGGCAAATTACTTGCCTCTGATGACTCAGTAAATATTACAAACAAAATGCTGAGAGAATTTACAGATCGGGGGATGGTGTCTGAAGCTTTTTGCAAGATATTAGCAATAGCAATAGTTGACTAGTGCATCAGAACTTTGAATGACTTCTCATCCAGTGCAATTCCGGAAGATCGAAAGGGGTCCATTCTTTTCCAGCAAGATAAAGCCGCCATATATACAGCTTACATCAGTAAAATGTGGCTGTTGTATCGAGATATGGAAACCATCGATTGACCCGCTCGCAGCTCCAATTTGAACCCAACTGAAATCGTTTCGGGATGGTTGGCGGGGCGGACCTATGCCAACGCAAGAATCTTTCATGCTATTCACGAACCGATTTTCAATATCCTCACTGAATGAAACAACTTCGAAATCAAGGCTACCCGAAATAATATTGTTAGTAAGTTTGACCGTTGATTTTCTATTCTGAGTATTGAAGATATTTGCATTTTACCACTAGGTGGTTGTTTTATCACTGGGCCAGAGATGCGCTAAAAGCTCTTCCCATCCTTCAGGTGTATTATTCGGGATAAAATTAATTTTCATAAGCCAAAGTTCAAATTCGTATACAACCTCATTTCCTGGATGAAACGAGATAAATGCACGTTAATGTTTACGATCCCATGTATGTCCGTTCTCCATAAATCTCAAGAAAATAATGGGGTGCTGAGTCTTTCATCCTACTTATATTGTCAGAATTTTCACCAAAGACTGAAGAACACAAGCCACGAAAGTCATTTCAGCTGTTGATGAAACATCTACTAACTGAAAATCAAAACATAAGTGCAGTAAGTCCATAAACTTAAGATACAGACAACGCCATTCTTCAACAACAACAATCACGGAAGTTACAACTCAAACAATAACTGACAGTCTTTTCGCTCGCGCAAATGATCGAGCTCTCACAGCGCACACGGTTTATTCTACCGTTTCCAATCCCCTTCTACATACTTTACAACTTCATTGCCCGCCGGTTCTACGGCCGATCGTCCCTGCCGCAGTGTCATTAGTGGAGGTCCTGGTTATGTTTTCTGTCGTCCTTCTTCGACCAGCTTCTGAGTCTAGCCGAACCCACCAGCTGATGCCCTGCTTTGTTCTCGATACCCACTGAGGCTAGCTACGTTCTACGTACGAACCGTGATGCGTATATTACAAGAGGCCGGTTTAACTCGTACCCTTATGTTGTGTCCACAATCGGTAGCAGAACACGTAATGGTGGCTTTGCATTTATTTATGCCATTGTGAACACAAAACCCGGCCGTAGCCGGCGACTAAGCGGCAAACAAGCAAGTGAGTTGGCATAAAGAATTAAACTACTTGTGTCGTCACGCGCAGCAGAGGAAGACCAATCAGTACACAGCAAAATCGATAGGTCAATACTGCTGGCGCTAAAGCATGGTTAAAGATCGAGGAAAATTGAGAGTATGTCCATTCATGAGAGGAATATCGATCGGTTGTCCGCGTAGTATGCGAGACCCTAACCAGACACAACATCACCTCTCCTCCCCCCAAGGAAAAAGATCCAAGGCTTGCAACGGATGAAATTGTTCGTAGTATTACCAGTAACGGTTGTATCAGTAGTACCTTCATTAGAAGCAGTTGTCGTGGTAGTATCCAAAGCAGTAGTATCATCAACAACATTGTTCGAAGTCGTAGTAACAGGAACTATGTTCACAGCAGTAGCAGTGTCCGCAGTAGAAGTAGTAGTATTTGTAACAGTAGTTCTTCATAGCAGCATTCGTAGTAGTAATTGTATCAGTAGCAGTAGTAGTAACAGGAACCGTATTCGCAGTAGAATTCACAGAAACTCCGGTCACAGCATTAGTTACAATAGCAGCAGCAGTTGTTGTTGTACGCATGTGACGATACAAAACACTGAACAAACCAGCGCCAGTATAACTGAGAAAGCACATAGGACATACTCGAGCAAGAATGGTGGAAAATTGGGCAAAACGTTGAACGAGAACAAAAACTTCATCAACGAGATGATGGCTGGGAGATGAAATGCGGTACCAACAGAAGTATCTGTAGTATTGTTCACCGTAGCAGTGGCAGTAGTAGTAGTGGCATTGCTATTATCAAAATCAGTAGCATGAGTTACACTGGTAGTCATTGCAGAAGAAGAGTAGCGGTAATCATCATAATGACAGTGTAGTAGCAGCAACAGTAGTATTAGCATTACGCATGTAATATAACACAAAACGGCGTCGTTAGAATAAAGGACGTATACAGGACAAAGCCGAGAAAAGTGAACTAAGCATTAAAAGAAAACAATAAAAAAAGTTATC